ATTCTGAATAACTTTTACTGTACAGTTGCCAATAACCTGCAATCGGGTCTGAAAAGTGACATAAATCCTCTTTCGTATTTGTCTGATGTAAAAATAGATGGTACATTTGAGCTACAACCTACAAATATCGGTGAACTGAGAAATATTTTTAGGGACATAAAAAATCCGAAATCAAGCGGCTGTGACAACATTTCAGTTAGACTACTTCGGAATCTCCCTGAGACTGCTCTCTATGTGTTGGCTGAGTGTATAAATATCTCCTTTCAATTGGGCAATTTTCCTGACGTTCTTAAAACAGCAGTTGTTGTTCCAATACATAAGGGAGGTGAAACTGACAAGCCCGAAAATTACCGCCCGATATCATTGCTTTCAACACTTTCAAAGGTAATAGAGAAATTGGTCAAGGGAAGAATGTTGGAGTACCTGAATAAACTTAATATTTTAAGTGATTCTCAGTTTGGTTTTCAACCATCCAAAAACACTCACGACGCAATTTTTGATCTTTTAGATCATGTTTTCACAGCTTTGAATGAGGATGAAGTGGTCGCCACAGTCTTCTGTGACTTCTCTAAGGCCTTTGACTGTGTAAACCATGAAATTATGTTAAAAAAATTGCATGTTTACGGCTTTAGAGGAGTCTCCTTGATGTGGTTCAAATCGTATTTCTCAAAAAGAGAACAGTATGTAAAAATCGGTTCTACATAATCTCTAACTTTAAATATATCGAATGGCGTTCCCCAAGGGTCCGTTCTCGGACCGATTTTATTTTTGCTGTATCTGAATGATATATTCAGACTACCAATTCAAGGTCGCTTCACAGCTTTTGCAGATGATAACACTCTTTCTTGGAGAGGGAAAAATTTTGAAACTTTAAAGGACACAGTCTCAAGGGACTTAAAAACAATTAAGGAATGGTGTGACGCAAATTTACTGTGCTTTAATACAAAAAAAACCAACCTCATGACATTCAAATTTATTTACAATGACCTCTACCTAGATGCTCAATTAATTGAAAACAGGTCCAACTGCAAGTTCCTTGGGATTCATGTTGACAGCCAGCTCAAATTTTCCACGCATGTCAACAACCTTAACAATAGACTGGCTAGCGGATGCTATGCCATACGAACTGTATACAACGAGCTTGGCCATAATTCTGCCAAAATGGTATATTTCTCTTTAGTAGAATCTCACATCCGGTATGGCATAGCCTTCTGGGGATGTTGCTCGCAGACACTTTTTGATTCGGTGTTTATTGTACAAAAAAGGGCAATAAGATTTCTGTGTGGAAGAGGATATCGAGATCATTGTAGACCACTTTTCTTGAGACATGAAATTTTGACAGTTTACTGTATTTTTATCCTAGAGACAGCAATTTTAATGCATAAAAATTTTTATGACCAAATAGATCTCTCAAGAACCTACGAAACTAGACAGAAACTAAAAATTTCGTTGCCGATCCCGAGGTCTTCTTTGACACAGAACTCAGTAATTTATAAAAGTAAAAAAATATTTAATCATTTACCTGTTCACCTAAGAGAAATTAAAGAACTAAGAAGGTTTAAAACCGCTTTGAAAAGTTTTTTGTGTAAAAAAGCATATTATAGTTTGCAAGAATTTTTTGATGATAATAGTTTAGGATAACATAGTTTGTATTTTTTGTATAAAAATTTTACTATAAATAAATATTAGGAGATGCTGTTGACCAAAAATTTTATTTTGTGTTTTGTTTTTTTTAGCTACTGTATTGGATATTTTTAATTTTATGTATTTATTTTGACTGTTGTAATTACGTTATTTAGTCACTTGTTTAAATGTTTTACTCTAGTATTTAGGAACTAAAGCTTTGTCAATGGAAAATTATTTTTGTTTTTCGGACAATAAAGTATATTTTGATTGATTGATTGATTGATATTTATTCCTAGAAGAAGGTCAAAGTCTCCAAAATTTCCAAAATGGTTCACTGACCAATTGAAAACATCTGTGTTTGAAAAGAAAATCGCACACAAAAAGTACAAGTTATCTGGTCTGCAAGAGGATTATACTAAATTCTCCAGTTTACGAAACAAGTATAAGACACTATTACAGGAAAGTTATTCTCAGTATATTGAAGAAGTCCAGTCATCATCCAGCATCAGCAACAAAGATTTCTGGAAATATGTCAACTCTAAGAGGCAAGCTTATCAGTTACCCAACCAAATAACAATATTTATTCTTTCTGAAGATCCAGATTCAATTGTCAATAACTTTGCAGATTTTTTCTAGGTCGTATATATCACATGAACAGGTTGATGATTCGGATCATGCCCCAGCACTGAACCGTGAGCTACTCTAACCTTTGTTTATTCCTCTTCACTATCCATTCCATTCACTGACGTAAAATTTCTCCTATTGGTTGGACAGGATCTTAGTAGGTTCTGGCACACACCTTGAAAACCTATTCCTTACGACCTATTCAACATCAGGTCTATGTCGACAGTGTCAAAAGACTTCTTAAGATCAATAAACACTGTAGCAACATATCTGTTTTTATTTAGTTGTTCAATGATGTATTCCAGTAAGTCAACTGTGGCACCTAGCGTATTACTTTTTTTTGGAATACATACGGCCTTGTGTCATATTTGAATTTGGCTTCTATAAACCTAGTTGATTATTTTTTCTAGAATCTTGGAGAAGGTGCTCAGTAATGTAATTGGTCTATAATTACCAACATCAGTATAAGAGCTTTTTTTTATATATTGGCACTATCTTTCCAGTTTTCAACTCGTTTGGGTAGATACATCGCCAATAGTGTTAATTTATCATCTTTGTGTATAAGTACTTTTGAGGTCTTTGGGTTTATTGGAAAATTGAATGACCTCTTAGGTTCGAGTCCAGATGGTTTAACTGTATTTTTTGTAAAGTCATGTAAATGTGTACTGGCACAGTCAATTTTCAAAAATAGTGATTGTTCTAATCTGAAAATTATAGGCCAATCTCTAAAATGAATATTTTTGCCAAGATATTCGAATCAATAATTTCAGACAAGATAACCTCGAAGATAACTCCACTTTTCAAAAATATTATAGTTCCTGAGCAGCATGGCTTCTGCAAAAGAAGATCAACTGTTACAAATATGCAGGTTTATACTAACTGTACCTCGGACTGTACTGACACATTGTTGGACTCCTTGTAGAGTGGTTATCAGGTGGATGCCAGTTACACTGACTTTTCAAAGGCGTTGACAGAGTAAATCACAATTTTTTTTTTTTTTAAATCAATTGCAAAGTTTTGGTATTTATGGTTTACTCTTATCTTGGATTGGAAGTTATCTGACTGATATAAAACAACTCATTATGTATAATAATTACTTTTCTAACACCATAATTGTAAGTTCTGGCGTGCCTCAGGTGGACATTCAGGACCATTGCTTTTTATTAATGATTTAGTTATTAGATTTAGTTTTAGTTAGGCCCTTCTTTTTGCTGATGATCTGAAATTATTCTCTGTTATAAAATCAATCGAGGATTGTATTAATTTACAATATGATCTAGATCAGCTCAGTGAATGGTGTAATTCTAACAGAATATCAATAAATATTGACAAATGTAAAGTTATTCAATTTAGTAGAAAACTTGAAAATGTTATCCATAGATATAATATAAATGCCTTAGATCTTGAATTAATTGATACCTAGTATTCGTGATGTGCTAATGAAGGATTGAAACTAATGGGATTTGTATCTAGGCAGGTTTCGGATTTCACTGATATAAAGTGTATCAGAAGTGTTTATTGTGCTGTGGTTCAATCTGTCATTGAATATGCATGCCCTGTATGGGTCCCCACATTATGAAATTTATAAATCTCGTTTAGAAAAAGTGCAGCACCGTTTTTTAAATTTATTGGCTTTAAACTTAGAATACCTATCGATAAATAAGATTATGCTGTTTTGATGTGACATTTAAACATCTTAAGCTTGGAAAAACGGAGAATTTATCTTTTAGGTAGAATCCAATTTAATGTTCCTCAAAGAAATAATAGATGTGATAGTTTTTCAGTATGTTTTTATCTCGGTTTTTATAGAACTAATTATGGATTATACTCGCCAATTAATAGATTGTGCTCGGAAACCAATATTTATGCCGGTAACTGTGATATATTCAACTGACTGTTCTTAAATAATTTCTTCGAAGAATACTAGAATAAGACTGTTTGTTTGTTTTTAATATTTATTCAATTGTTGAATCTGTAGGAAATTTATTTCCGTTAATAAAATATTTATTTATTTATTTATTATTTATTAAAGTCAACAAGCCATAAAGGGCTTTAGGGTTTATCCGAGGGTTTATCATCAGGACACCCTGTATATATCTGTATACAGTGTCTTACAGATCTATGTTAAATAGTTTCAAGTTCCACTCTTTATATAGTATTTACTTAGAAAACAAAAGTGAGCTGTGATTTTTATACTAAGGCTGGCAACTGGAACCGATTTTTCGGTTAACAGCGGTTTTTACCCATACCGAAAATCAGTTATTCGGTTACGATTTTAACCGGTTTTTGCTTAACTACAGTTTTCACCCAAACCGAAATACTCTTTTTCGGCTAATCGGTTTTCGGAAACCGAATACCTATCAGAAACTGACTGACTGGAATCGGAAATTGAAAGTCGAGTTGAAAGTACTAATTCCCCAGAGTAATTCTACCGCTAACTCGAGAATATACTAAAAACTATGTAGCCAAATAAATTGTATTTTTTTTTTTAATTTTCAAGCAAATTTTTCACTTAATTTTTTTTACGAAAGATTGGAGAGTGTACCTCAATCTATAGTTGTGTTTTGTACCTATTCTAGAGTATTCAACCATTTGAAAGAAGATACCTATATTGCGATTTTGCATTTTAAAATAATCATCACCACCAATGGTGTAGAAGTTTAAAAATTTTTGTTGCTGAAGGAGCTCACTTGACATGATTAGGTAATACTAATTCAAAATTTCATGATAATATTTTGGTTTCCATTCAGAAACTGCTGAAGTTACTTGGCACGGAAAAGGCAACGAAGACAAAAGAGGTCAAGAAATTGGTAAAGGAGTCTCGGCCAGATCGTGGCTCTATGTTAACAGTAAACCTGTGGTTTGCACAAGACATATGGAAGTGGCTGCTATGGTTTCAGCTATAAACCCTTCACTAAATGCTAATGTTGACGTCAGTGAAGTTGCGTTGTTGCAGCAAGAGTTATTATGGCATCTGTACGATTTCGGGCATCTCAAAAAGTATCCTATGGCTATAGGTAACTTGGGGGATCTTGAGGAGATTTCACCCAAGCGCCCTGACATTTCTTGCAAAAACTTATTTGACGAAGCTATAGAGTCAGCTAGAAAGTACTATAATAATCAGCACGTTTATCCCTATACTTATCAGGGAGGTTATTATTATAGAAATAAAATGTACAAAGAGGCTTTTGAAAGTTGGGCTAATGCCAGTGATGTTATAAGAGGGTAATATTTTTCTAGTAGTTGTTTTGAAATCATTAATATTGATATTTTTTCGAAGGTACAACTATTCAAGGGATGACGAAGAAATCTACAAAGAATTCCTGGAAATAGCCAACGAGCTCATTCCCTACATTATGAAGATGGAAAGTTCTGGTTTTGAGGCAAACACCATTTTAAAGAAAGCCGAGTGTTTTGCTAACTTGCTGAAATTTTATGATGGGATTTGTCAGTGGGAAGAAGGAAGCGCCACACCCGTGCTTCATATAGGTTGGGCAAAACCTCTGGTTAATACTATTTCTAAGTTTGATGCAGACGTTAGAGCACAAGTAAGATTTTTCGCGATTTTCTACTTTTTCTACATCAAAATCTATCCAATTTAGTTAGTAGTGTGCTTGTAATGAAAAAAACAACCAAAAAACAAAAAATCTCTGATATCTAATACTCAAATCTTCTTTTTCAGGTCAATATTGTATGTGATAATGTTGAAGAGAAACTATGTTCAAAGAAAAACGGTTCGATCTTCAACAATAACAATAATAACAATTATGAAAAAGAGCATGCCTCCACAATAACCAAGCCCAGTGCTACAAAACAGTCTGCCTCTAATTTCCATCCTACAATTGAAGCATTAACTGCGGCTTGTTCTGAAAAGCTGCTGAATCCAGAGTTTTTGCTACAGGGCGACGGATCGCCGTTTGTTGGTAAGTGACAATTAAAATGTATTATTATTAAGTAAATAATATGTACCTATTATTGCAAATGACAAATTTTACAGGCACTAGTCAGCAGCAACATGAAATAAAAATTAAAATAGAAAAAGTGGAAGAGAATCCAGATAATGGTAATTTCATTAAAAACTATCGATGTGTAATGATTATTGTTGGTCGATTTTTTGGTTTCTAGGTTGGATTTTTTTTGTGATTTGTGCTCATTTTATTTTTAATTTTTTCCCTTTATCCCATTTAGTATAATAATGAATTGTTATGAAACAAAAACTATACATTTTTCAGGCATGGAAGTGTTGGAACCGGAATTTCAGGCTGTTGAAGTCAAACAGGAAGATCCTGGTAAATTTCACAGAAATGGCGCTTTTTTATGTTTAGTTTTGTTTTTGTTCCTGTGTTGCCCATTTTAATTTCTTAATTAACTGAAATATTTGATTCTAATCAAGTGTAAATTTTAGGTGGCGAATACACAATACCAGCGCTAACAAAGCCAGAGGAGGAAAAAGAAAATGGAAAACCGGGCACATCAAAATCGCCAGATTTCTTAGCCAAAGAAGAAGACTACGAGGAGGAGATGCGCAGGAAGCGACCAACAGTGGTACTGCACAGTCAAAAAATGAAAGAACTAAAAGATTTGCTTTTGGCGGAAAAACTCAACACTCACGCAATCTCTTTGCACTTGACAGCACAATCTCAGGTACAGGTAGGGAAAAAGAGCAGGAGCGATTCAACTGAAACGTCAATGAGGCCAAAAAGGGCACGAAGAGAATAAGAAAAAAGAGGCCTCTATTTATTTAATAAACAAGCTTTAAGGTGAGTACTTAAATACATAGTTATTTTAGGGCATTATTTCATATATATTGTGTATGATTTAATAATAATAATATGCAATTTGTTTTAAATTTTATCACAAAAATTTAAAAGAACATAATGCATATACTAGCGCTTAAACCTTGAAAAGTCTTTCTATTATCAGGAAATAGGTCTTTACTGTAGATGTATAAGTAAAAAGAAGTACATAATTTTATGTATACATATTCTAAGATGTAAATCTAGAATTGCTATTGATGTTATTTTTAGCAAATAACTTTGAGACGTATCCCAGTGAATTTGGTAGTCTTGTTGCACTTTTGCACTTTTTGTGATTATTTTTGTTTTTGACTCACAAACGCACTGTATACCTTAGCTTGCCATTTAACAGCCTAAATATAATATGATAGGTAATGATGTGAGCAGTATTAATATTTTTTGTAACCTTCAAGAACTGATTTTTTGTATGTATATTTTGCAATAGCTTCAATGCTAAGTCGTAGTTTTTTATTTTAGTATTTAGGGACATTAATCAAACATAATTTGTGGAGATGGAATTTATTGCAAATTATTTCATTGAAAGCTTATAAACTTAATTTAGAGGCTTTTAAAATTATATCAATTTTGACAATTCATTTAGTATTCCAAAATCAAAAACTTTCATTGAAAATTTGTACTTGAGTGTTTTTTTAATGGAAACAGACCTAATAATAACTGTGTTTGATTAATTTATAAGTCTTATTAGCTATTATTTTACACTCACTGTGATTGGGGACAATTTTCACAAACACAGAGTCCCTAATCTACCTCAACATTATACACATTCCTTTTTTTTGTGATTAGATCACGCGTTTCCTAGATTAAGATTGTTGAAAATAATTTTTATTGTACATATTTTTTCTTTTTTTTAAACTGCGTTGATCGCATTACAAAGCAAGTCTTTTTTATTATTAGCTTATATTGTTCATCTTTATTTATTGAATTTTGCATGACGTGTTGCACATCACTTTAGTTAAGTTTTAGCGCTTAAGCTTTATATTGTATATTTTGAATTGTTATAGCTGCTATAATAACAGTTTGTATTGGTTGTTATGCACTCTCAAGCAAGAAAACCCAGTGCAATTTTCCTTATAAAAAATAAAAATATAATCAAAATAATTTCTCCCACTAAGCTTCTTTACATTTCTTAGAACCACAACTATACTTACCTCTTTTTTCTTTTTTAATAATAATTTATTTTGAGAAAACTATACAGGGTGACTCAGACCCTGTTGTTTTGGAAATTTAATAAATAATTTATTAAAATAACTAGGCGTTAGGATGTAACTTCTTTAGATTTAAAATATGTACGTATTAGATCATTATATTGGCAACAAAAGGATTGTTGCTATAGAAGATAATAAAATTATTACCTAATTGTAATCGAAATTAAGAGTAAGTGTTCATTGTCATGAATATTCTGATGGGTATAGAATGGCATTCTTCTTAACATAACGAGTCTTCACAAAAAAAAATAAACAATCGAACAGTATTTTTGACCTGACATTCTGACATTAAAGTTCATTGACAAAATCTGGGGGAAGCATGTGGTAGTAATAAAACTTGTACTCAGATAGTGAAAAGTAATATAATAAAAAAGGTATAAATTCGTCAAAATAAAAAGAAGGGAAACGTGTGTGTATCAAAAATTGAAAAATTACTTGACACACACTTGACAACTAATAATGACAACTGCCACTCTTCACTAGCAATTGTCTATATCTCAACAAAAACGCCAACCTAAATTAAAAACAGTATTATCAATATAATTTTGATTGTTTTAACCACATAAAATTAAAGAAAAATATTGCTTAAAACATACGTTTGAAAACCAATTATATTTTGGATTCAGAAACTTGTATTTTAAAAAACATTTATTTTATTGATTAAAATACAGAGGTGACAAAAGAAAATATGTGGATCAAATTGCTACAGCTAAAGCCTGAATCCCAATGTATTTAAAAAGTCATAGAGGAAAGGGGTTCCAGATAGGAAGCAATATTATTCAGTATTTAAATGTGATATTTGTCACAAAAAATTAAATGAGATTTCAAAAGGCATTAAGTGACATTCAAATAAATATGATTTTAAATGTGATATTCATCACGAAAAATTCAAAAAAAAAATTGATACCATCACAAGCAAAAAGCAAAATAGAATCTTCTATAGCATCCATCCTTGTTGGTACTTTTAGTAGGACAAACCTCCCTTATATACCCTTATTAGTGTTAAATTTGAATAGAGAAAAAGCTGATTTTATTTTTATAATATTTGGTATTTAATATTTATTGTATAAAAATTAAATGTAATTGAAATTGTGAGGTGGTACAATAATATTGGAAAAAATCTACATGTTTAAAAATCTGTTACTAGTTTTTGCTTGAATAATGATTATTATAAACACATTGATCCCCCTTGAAATGTGCCGTTTTAATGGAAATTCTCTGCTTGAATCATTAGTACCTATTATTAATGGCATTTCGAAAATTAGTAGTCTTTTTTTTAGCGCCTATAATTATTTCGAATTTATATTGTAGTCTGTGATGAATAAAAGGGTGAATAATGTATTTATTCTATTTTGTAGTTGTTAGATGAGTATTTTTATAAAGGGAAAATTTATCGGTGAATTATAATTGAAAACGGACAACTAACTCATTGTTTTTTTATTCAATCGCTAAATTTGGGTTGGACAGTTTTGAGCCACCACAGGAACGAACTTGCTGCCAGTATTTTTTTTCAATATAGTTTGGGCAGTTTTATTTTCAACTGGCAATATGGAAAATACATATTGCTTTATTAATTATTGTTAGTAATATAGGTTGTCCTCTTTACAAATAATAAATGTACAAAAATCGATAAAGTTATCTTAAATTATTTACATGTGTATACCTTTTAGAAATTTAATCAAACTCTACTTTAAGTACACAAATAAAGTATTAAAGCAGATATTTCTATTTTCTCATTTCTATCTACTTTATTATTAGGCATCTATTGAAATAATTTATTTATTTATTGACGGGAGGCCCCTTAATAGCATACGGAACATCTATATACAATAATTAGACGTTTAGACAACAAATTAAGTAGACAACAAGAATTGAAACAGAAAAACAAAAGACTACTCAACAATTTGACAAGATGGCGAACATTACTTACAATAAAATTATTTCTTATCACTAAATATCACATAAATAATTAATAGGTACAGGAACTTTGTTTAAGGAGTTAAGCTCTCTTTTAAAGTCTTCACGAGTACTGAAAAAGTCCAGGGTATTGAACTTATTGGAGATTCGGAAAGCTCTGGAGATAAAAGTGTTCGAGCCATAGTTAGTTCGGTGGATCTTTTCTGAGAAGGTAGTGGAAGAACGTGTAGTTCTTCCTGGGGCATGAAGTCCAATTTTGAATAGTGGGTATATGGAATCGTTGTAAGAGTTATTTTAAAGTATGTTGATAAATCCCTTTGATTTTGTCTGGCGATTAAGGGTTGCAGGTTGAAGCGTCGGTAGAGGTCACCATAGTTGTAGATATAATTTTCGGGAGGAAGAATACCCGCCTTGAAGGCCAAGTACCGTAAAAATTTACGCTGCACCTTATCATTGTGCAGTACAGAATCCTGATGGAAGAGATGTTAGTGAAGTCCACAGAACACTTTTTAACAAGGCCCAGCAGTTTCAGAGACCTGGTAGGGATATCCGAAATATGGCTAGAGAAGCTCAACGTGTTATCAAAAATTACACCGAGATCACGTTTTTGGGACACTGTTTCAAGTGGTTCATTGCTTATGTAATGAACAAATTGTATGGGGCTTTATAGTTTTACATTTAAAAGCACTGAGTTCCATGCCACTTGTGACACACCATTTGGAAGGTCTATCCAAGTCAGATTGTAGTCTGGCACAGTCTTCGTGGAAGGAGACTCGGGCGAAGATCTTTAAGTCATCGGCGAAACACAGAAACTCACTATTAATGAAACAAGAACCAATATCGTTGATGCAAATAATAAATAGCAGTGGTCCCAGGTGAGATCCTTGTGGTACCCTTGAAGGAATGTCAATAGGCTGTGAGCATAAGTTGATGATCTTGACGGTTTTAGATTCTGTTCCTAAGGTAGTCGCTGATCCACGCAAGCAGAGTACCAGAAATTCCAATTCTCTCAAGCCTCCCAAGTGGGACGTTGTGGTTGACATGGTCGAATGCTTTAGCAAAATCAGTATATATGGAGTGAACCACTCCACCGCTTTCAAGAATCCCTGAGATTTTATCCTGGTGCGTCAGGAGGTTAGTTTCAGTTGAGCACTTTGCTTGTTGTTCCATTAGGCAAGGGTTAATGATAGGAGTTAAGAATTTAGTTACTATATTCTCAAAGACCTTAGGGATAGTGTTAAGCATACTGATAGGCCTATATTTGGTAATATCCATTTTGTCACCGGTCTTATGGATGGGCGTGATAAAACTCCGCTTCCAAATCTCAGGAAATACCCCACTACTAAGTGATTCATTGAACAAAATAAACAAAGGACGAGATAGGATAAAGCTACACTTACTGAGCATCAGAGGAGGAATGCTATCTGGGCCAGGTCCACGAAAGATCCGTAGCTCAAACAGTTCCTCGTAAATAACTGAGATGGAGATTCCAAAGTCATGAATGTGAGTGTTACTATCAGAAATGCTTTGGCCAATAACAATGAAAGTATGCACCGAAGAGATTAGCTAGTTCAGGTCCAGTTTTGGCGAATTTACCGTTATAGAACATGTAAGAAGGAACTCTATAAGTCTGTTGTCTAGCATTGACAAAGTTCCAGAAATGTTTTAGATTTTTATTCCTAAGCAATGACACCAAGTTATAAAACGGGAAAAATATAATTACTACAACAATCAAATTAGTGAAAATAAAAATGATTCCAAAGAGCTATGGGAAATAATACATAATATTGTCCCGAAAAAGCAAGACAACAAAATCATTAACTAAATAGAAGTTTATAACAAATTAATAAGTGACCCACTAGAAATTCCTAACTCTTTAAACAATTTTTTTGTGCAGAGTATAGGGGCGATCTTCGATAACATAGATAAGTCTATATCACTGGATAGGATCAGAGATAAATATCGGGGAAATATATCGCCACTCAAGGAGTTTAAATTGATGACTATGATCAACTTAAAAATGTATCTTTGAAATGGCCAATAAAGATAGCTCAGATGGGCTAAGTATCCTTTTGTTAAAGAATTGTTTTGAAAATTTAAAGGAGCCACTACTGCACATATTTAATTCATGTAGGTATATTTGATTTCACAGTACCAACACAACTAAAAATCTCAACAATTGTTCCTATTCCAAAAACGTCCAATGCACAGATGGCAGCCGAATTTAGACCTGTTAACATGCTCAGCTTTTAACAAAATTTTTTGAGAAGGTCTTGTATGAGCAACTTGTAGATCATTTAGAGGAAAATAGTATTTTAGCTCAATATCAGTTAGGGTTTAGAGCAAAACATAACTGCGAGTCCGCTATACAATGTGTATTGGACGATTGGAAGCGCTATAATGACAGGAATCAGGCGGTGTGTGCTGTTTTTCTGGATTTGCAAAGGGCTTTCGAGACAGTGGATAGAAGAAGGCTGCTTTTAAAGCTGAAAAAGGTAGGCATTGAGGATGGGACACTGGAATTGCTTTTAAGCAATCTAACTGGGAGAAGCCAGAAAGTCGGGGTTAATCGTTGAATCAGAACTAATAGAGACCGAAATAGGTGTTCAAAAAGGAAGCGTTTTAGCACCATTGATGTTTCTGGTTTATATTTATGACATTGCTGAAGTTGTTGAGGGAATTGGGATCCGTTTATTTGCTGATGATGTTTTATGTTGTTTTCCATCTTCAGATGTGGAAAACATGGGAAATGTCATTGATGGAAATCTGGATAGCATACATAGGTGGTGTTGTGCAAACTCATTGAAAATCAATATTCTAAAAACAAAATGTATGATACTGGGACCAGACAGGTATTATAGGGAGTTTGTAAGCAAGGGCATTGAAATAAAAATTGACAACAATAAGCTAGAAATTGTGGAAAAGTTCAAATATCTGGGGTCTTAATTGATAAAAACCTAAAATTTAAATGTCATGCTGATTATGTTATAAAAACTATTTCTTTCAAGCTCTTGTTCTTGTATAAATGTGCCTTTTCTTTGACTCGGTGGTCAAAAATTTTATTATTCAATTCATTGGTGTTACCACATTATACACACTGTTCCACAGTTTTATATTGGTTCCAGAAAAATGAAATTGAAAGATTGCCAAAGCTATAAAATAAGGCGGATGAAACTTTATTGTCCGAGAAGAACACCTATTCGTGAAATGAAAAGCGCATTGGAATGGTTTTCAGTAAAGGAACTTATTTTGTACAACACAATGGTGTTTATTTTCAAAATTAGAGTGGGACTGCTGCTATCATATTTACCAAGAAAGATAAACTACATTTCTCAGAGGCATGAAAGAAATTTGAGATCAAAGGATAATTTTGATATCCCATCAGGGCCCAGTCTGTACAAGCAGAAAAATCATTATTTATTAGGGGATTACTTGGATTTAACCAGTAACCTACTGATATTAAAGGCTGTGAACAAATCAATACTTTCAAAAGAAAACTTAGAATATATATTAGAGATAAGACAGATTAAATTACAGTGTATGTATACTTTTAGTTTTATTCATTTGAGTGGTTTGGATCATTTTCGTTTGTATTGCCAGTTTTATATTTAATGATTCTGTTTGAAATTGATGTGCAATGTTAATTGATTGTTTTTCTGTATTTAAAAAAAAAAGATAATGTTTTAAGATGACTTATATGTAACTCCAAGATGTAATAAATTAGTTATAATAGCTAAATAAACGATAATAATAACAACAACAACTTCTGAGCATATGACATAATTTGTAGAGCAGTCTTTGGTCTTACAGTGAGCCCGAAGGTGTGAAAATTCAACATAGCCAGCAGGGGAACCCGTCTGCTTCCAAGTTCTGTGGGCACTTTTCTTCTTAATTATTAGGTCCTTTAGCTCAAGGGATAAGCATCGATGGGGAGGATAATGTCATTAGCTAAGAAGCAAGTATCCTCAGGGTCCTGGGTGAAAACCAGATCAAGTAGAGTGCCACGAGCATTAGAGAGTACATTTATCTGGAACAGGTTGTGGTAATCGCTCATATTGGATAACATTTGGTGGCTTCACACTCTGAGGTTAAGGAAGACTGAGCAGCAACAGCTGCAGAACTGAGATTGTCACTACCCCATTGTGCCTTGGGTAAATTGAAGTCACCAAAAATGCTAAGCTTGTAATCAGGGAATGTATCCGACAAAGCTTCGACTCAAAACATCTGTAATCCTCGCTATTGGGTCTAGGTGGTAGGTAAACTGCAACTAGCAATAATTTTCGATTCCCCGAGTGCACCCTGACGAATAACTGTTCAATAGTCCTGGGTGAGTCGCAGATTGAGCTAAAAATACCCTTTTGAATTGCTTTCAATACACACAGTCAGCCAAGTCTCCGTAAAAACCAGAACTTGGTATGAAACTAGGGGAATAGAACCACTGATCACTAGCCAATGTATTTAATTTGGTACACAAACCGCACACATTCTGATAATAGACTGTTATAGAAGTATTCAGATTGTTCATAACTCCTGATTGTCGGCTAGGTCCTGGAAATCCTGGGCCCCATCATGTCTGGTTATATTGGATTTCCTTTGCGTGATCTTTAAGCATTATTAGTAGTTGGGATCGTCGGTTGGTAGGACAGAAAATAAAATAAAAGACTGAATATCTCACTCACTCTGTCAACGTTTCGCGTTTATTTAAACGCTTCATCAGGACTACAACAAAAAACAGAAAAACAAAATCACAATTGCAGTCATAAACACCATCAAATTAATCAAGATATTGAAAACACATAGA